TTTTGGAGACAGGGTCTCACTATGTAGCCCAGGCTGGCCTCAAACTCATGACAGGTGGCGTAACCACTGAGCTAAATCCCCGGCCCCCAAAAGAGAGAGAGACACCGACTGGGTCTTACAGCACACACCTTTTTTGTTTTTTTGGTACTGGGGATCTAACTCAGGACCTTTTGCTTTCGAGGCAGATGTCAGAACCACTGAGCTAAATCCCCAGCCACGGGCCTCAAACTCATGATGATCCTCCTGTCTCAGCCTCCCAAGTGTGCACGGCCCCGTCCTGCTTTTTTGTTTTTGGTACCGGGGATTGAATTCCATCCTGCTTTAAAAAAAAATTTTTTTTTTGCAATGCTGGGGAAGGAACCCAGGGCCTGGTACATGCTAGGTAAGAGCTCTACCACAAAGAAGCTACATCCTGGACCCTCGGGTTCATTACTGCTATTAGCTCAGGGGAGAACCTAGCTTGCTTGGGAGAAAAACGGGCTTGGTGAGGCTGCCCTTGCCTGAACTGCAGCGGCACTCACAGGTGCAGGTGTGGACCCAGCCCCCGAACTGCAGGCTGTGGGAGCTCACCCCTTCCAGAGATGGGTGAAGAATGCGGACAGAGCTGCAGTCTCTTCTGAGTTTCCTCTTCTGGGCGAGAAAGGCCAGAGGATGACTGACAGAAGTTCCTCCTTCTGGAAACTGGAGGAGCAGGCGGAAGCGCCCCCCCAAGAGGGGGCGGCACCCTCTCCCTGCAGGCCCTTTGCTGAACTAGAACTGGTAACCCGGCCAGGTCCCCTCCCTGGTGCCTGTCATTCATTCTCTACTCTTTCTTCCAGCCACAGCCATAAAGGGGCCTCTCTCTTTCCTCCCAGGATCTGTGAACTCGCGCTGACTTCTTTCTTTCTTTTTTTTGTTTGCTGTTGTACTTATTTAATGAAACAGTTATCATACATACTTTTAAACAATTTAAATTATTTTTATTGCTATCATTTGAAATACCAAGAGCAATTCCAAGTAAGCATCCTTGCCATCATAACCCAATAAGCTTCTATATCTATAGGGTTGGACATCAGAATACAAGTTGATTTTCCCTGCTCACAAACAGGATTTGTTCTGAAGTACTTTGTTGTCTAAGATTGCTTACACTGTAAGATTCCAGCAAGAAAACAGAGTTAAACTTCGTGTGCAGCAATTATTCTTGCTGCCTCACTGACTTATTTCTTTTGACCCTTTCTCTTTCTCTCTCTCTCTCTTTCATTTTTTGAGACAGGGTTTTACTTTGTAGTTCAGGTTAGGCTTGAACTCACTATGGACCCCAGGTTGGCCTCAAACTTGTGGTGATCCTCCTGCCTCAGCCTCCTAAGTACTGGGATTACAAGCATGTGCCACTACACTTCTTTTCTTCTTTTAAAGAAGTCCACTGTTGGGGCAGGGGATTTAGCTCAGTGGTTTCGCAGCCTGCTGAGCAAGTGCAAGGACCTGAGTTGGATCCCCGTGTATCAAAAAAAAAAAAAAAAGAAGCCCACTGTTTTGAACTGGGGATTGATACCAGAACCTTCACACTGAGCCACATTCCCAGTCCTTTTCATTTTTTATGTTGAAACTGTCTCGTTAAATTGATCAGCTGTCCAGGTTGGGCTCCAATTTGTGATCCTTCCTCAGCCTCCCAGAATGGTGAGATTATAGATGGGCACCACCACACCCTGCTGAGTTCACCTTTCTTATTTATCTTTGTGATACTGGGGATGGGACTCAGAGCCTGAGCTACACCTTCAGCCCCTTTGTCCCTTTCTTATGCGGAAAAGGAGCACCCCGTTAGCCAGGCAGAATGCTACATTTGCCAGGCTTCTTCGCTGCTAGGCATGGTCATGTGGTGGTTTTGGCCACTGAGATATAACCAGGCATGGTGCATGGGACTTCTGGGAATTGTTTTGAGGAAGACTGAGAACAAGGCAGGCCCATGAGAAAGATCCAGAACACTGGAGATAAGGAGGGGTCACAGAAATCAGTATGGGACACCAGGTGAACACAACTAGGCCTGTGGGTGTGGCTGGGGACCAGGTGACAGGGCAGGCAGCGCTGTCTTCAGAATTTAGCTGGTCCAGCTTCTCCTCAGACCCTCTGGTTTCCAGAGCAGAAAGTGAAGCAGCAGCAGCACCACTGGGGTCCTTGCTAAGTGTGCAAGAGGCTGGGTTCCTCCTATCTCCAGCTTGACAAGTCCTCCAGCTGATTCTGATTCGGGAGCATTTGAGAACCTCTGACCTAGGGTGCCCTTGGACTGAGATAGGAAGGTAGGGAAAGACAACATAAGAGGCTGCAAGTTCCAAACGTATTGTACTCCAAGCTCTGAAGCCCTCTTGGAACTAAAAACTGATGAAAAACAATCAACATGAACCAGCCCATGAGTAAGATGTGACTGAGGACCTGCCAGATTCTCCTAATTAACACCCGCAGTCCATTTGTACAGGGACTGAGGTTGACAGCTGGGATGTATGTGGCTCCATGGCAGAGCACTTGTCTAGCAGGTCTGAGGCCCTGCATTTCATCCCTAGCACCACGAAAAGTATCAAAGCCAAAACCAAGCAAAGGAAGAAACAAAACAAAAGAAAAAGAACAGAAGGCACAAAGCATACTATAGATAAACTCTAGAGTAGCATCTTGGGAAGTTCCTAGATTCATTTAGTGTGAGCAGAGCTCATAGTCTCAGAACCTGAATGATAAAGAACATATCAACCCAATGAACTGTGTTGTGATATGACTGGGAAACAAAACAAAAGACGTGTTAGGTAACAGAAGGACAGGAGCCTGTCTACAACTTCAACTTCGGAGTCTGGGCCTCTCGGTGTCTTTTCCCAGCACCAAGGGGTGGAGGCTTAGAGCAGATGGCAGGGTGGGTGGGTCCTGAGGACAATTAGAATCCGTTAGATTCCTTCTCTGTGGACAGTTCCTACTTCTTTCTGGCTTAAGAACTCAGAGAATCTAATGAAGACCTCTCAACACCTGTCTCTCTCTCTCTCTCTCTCTCTCTCTCTCTCTCTCTCTCTCTCTCTCTCTCTCTCTCTCTCTCTCTCTCTCTCACAGACACACACTCACACGAGTATTCAATGCAACATTTAGGTTGAAACCACCTTCTTCTGTCATCTTACTTTTTTTTTGGTACCAGGGATGGAATTCGGGACCTTGTGCTTGCGAGGCAGGCAGTGGAAGCACTGAGCTAAATCCCTGGCCCTCTGTCATCTTTCCTGAAACAAGTAACAAACCCCAGTCCCTTTCTTATGCTTGCTGGAGGGAGACAGGTGCTCATTTATGACATTCAATCCACAGCTGGAAGACTGAAAGCAAGACTCAGACAGGAAACACACCTGACCTAGGCTGAGAACCCCTGAAGAAGGAAAGGGAGTCTGAAGTTAGCAATACAGGGGCGGCACACTGAAGGAGGTGGGGAGGGAATGATGTGTCTGTTGCAAGCCCCAATTCATTCCTACTTCACGGGTGTGAAATGACCAGGATGCTATAAAATCACCCGTCTTTAGTCACACCCAAACAGTAGTTTTGTGTGTTGAGTGGTCCACCGCCCTCCACCACCCTACTGAAGAGAAGCAAGGCTTCCACATGGAGTATCCTTCAGGAGGAAGCAGTACTAAAAGCACCCTGAATTAAGATGAATAAGAAACCATCCAAATAAACTCTGGATATTAAAAAAAAAGTCCCAATAAGATTTAGATAGTTTTTAAAAATAAAAAAGATTCACAATGTCCTTGTCTCCTCCCATTGACGGTGGGCTCTACTCAACCACTTTCAGGATATACAATGGGGGAGGAAGTGACTATGTGATTGCCAATACCAGGCCATAAAAGATGCGGTGGCTTCCATCTTGCTTGTATTTGGATTGCTCTTTTGAGGGGAGCCAGATGCCATGTCACAAAGTCACTCAAACAACCTGTTATGGTTTATAACAGGATGTCCCCCCAAAGCCTCATGTCCTCATAGGTGGAGCTTTTGGGAAGTTAGGGTTAGGATCACAGATGCGTGATACCAGATTAAGGGTACAATAAGTGGATCAGTCCACTGATTGGTTTAGCATGGTTCTGGGTGTGGATAATGGGAAGGCCCACCCTGGGTGTGGGTGGTACTAATAGGCTTGTAGCCAGGATGGGGTAAAAAGGAAAAGAAGAAAGGCTTGCTTCTTTGCCTCCTGCCTGCCATCCCATGAACTGTTTCTCCTATGCCATGCTGCCCTGTCTTGGAGCCCACTGACTATGGGCTGAAACTTCTACAAACTGTGAGCCAAAGTAAACCTTTCCTCCTTTAACTTGTGGGTGTCAGGTGTTTTGTCCCAGCAATGAGAAACTAAGACACAACCCGGCAGAAAGGCCCATGTGGTACTAGTCACGTGAGACAACTATCCTACATGAGAGCCTCCAGCTTTGACCAAAATCTCAGGGTGCCCTTGAGGCACAGCAGGCAACCAACTCACTCCTGGATCCCTAACCCTCAAAAACTGGGAACTAATGTTGAGTATTTTAAGATATTGAACTTCAGGAGTTTTTTGTTACACAGAAAAGAAATAACTAATATTCTTGGTGACCAGGACTGTGTTATACTCAGCTCTCAAGATATTGTAGGATCCCCCGCCCCCCCTTTGAGACAGGGTCTCATGTATTCCAGGATGGAACACTTGCAGCGATTCTCACAAATCCTGGGATTAGAAGCGTGGGCCACTGCACACACTGGGTCTTGCTATGTTCCAGGCTGGGCTCAAACTCACTACGGTATGTAGCCCAAGCTGGGCTCGAACTTGCCATCCTCTGCCTCAGCCTCCCAGAATGGTGGGATTACAGGAGCATGCTATGTGCGGCTCAAGGGTCACTCAATCTTAGCATGATTACTATTTCCAAGGACAGATCAGAGTCTGTAAAGAAGCATCCCACACATTCGTAGTGCAGGGAAATAAGACTTCTTTCTGCAACCTCCCCACCCCTCAATTGCCAGACCCAGCTCTGCACGAGTCTCCACGGACAAAGTACTCTCCTTCCTCTCAGTTCTCAATGACCAAAGACCAGTGTCCTTATCTGGAGCGGTCAGCCATGCAAAACAGACGTTTGCTATCTTTCTCTCTGGACAGGTGTTTTCTGGCTTGTTAAAGGCCTCCCTGGATCGCTCTACGGAGTGTGAGTTTGGGGCATTGTTCCCATATAGTCTCCCCGGGGTTAGCGCAGATCCCGGAGGAAGCAGGACTTCCGCCGAGTATTTATTGAAAGAATAAAATAAATGCCACTCAACCAGCACCCCTTCACTGGGCTCTGAGAACTTAGTCATCAAAAGCCCTCCCCAGTCTCGCGGTGAAATCCGGGTCGAGTTTCCTCCACCTAGTATCCTGCGCCTGGCCCGGAAGCCTCCGAGGGTCAGGGAGCCTGGACTTCGGCCTGACCCGCCCGTTCCGGAAGTCAGCAGGTACAGCACAGGCGCCTGCCCGCCCACCATCTGCTGTGTACATCAGCCTGCTGACCTTAAGTGTTCCGTCTACTAAACACGGGGACCTTGAGACTCTCGGTTCGCCGCAAATGAGCCAGCTGGGGGAACGCCAACTTCGTAAATTCAGTTCCCTGCTATTTTTGCTTCGAGCCCGCTCCCGTGCCAGGAGCGACACGGACGTCAGACTACAACTCCCAGAGGCCTCGCGCGCTGGCTGATTGGCTGCGCGGCTGCCGGCCCAAGGGGCGCGTGTGCGCGGCTGCCGATGGCTGCGCTTAGCTTGGCGGTGGGGCTCCGCTTGGCGGCGGCTCTCCGCGGGGCTCACGGGCTCTGCGGGAGGGCGGTGCGCGCGGCGGGGCTGCTGGGTCGCGGCTTCGGGAGTGCCTATGCCGCGGTCTCCACTGAGGTGAGGACCTGGGTTCCGCCGAGCGGTACTCAGCTCCTGGAGGCCCGGCCCGGACGGAAGGGGGCTGCCAGCCAGGCCGGTGCAGCATCCTGGCCTCCCCGGGAGATCGCTTCAGATGGTCGGGCTCGGGGCTCTGCGTCCGGCTGCCTCTCAGGCGGCCTGGACGAGAATCACTGCACGTGGAGAACGAGCGACACGAACCCAACCCTCATCGGATATTGCTTGGCTCTTTGTTGCATGTCAGCCTGGTCCCCAAACTTTCTCCGCGTTTTATGCCTGCTTTCCCCTGTGGGTCTGATCTTCCTCCTTGATTTTTATGACGAAACATGTTGATTATGATATCCAAGTACTTTTTTTTTTTTTTTTTTTTTTTTTGGTACCGGGGATCGAACTCGGGACCTTGTGCTTTCGAGGCAGGCAGCGGAACCACTGAGCTTAATCCCCAGCCCCTCCAAGTACTTTTGAGAGATTGCGGGTCTTCCCGTGGACACCCCCGGGAGTTGCACTTCTAGATCGACAGCACAGAAGTGGTTGTGGGTTTCGGTCTGCTTCACTGAGGGCCTGGCCTGTGAGGACCTGGCTTTGTCGGGCAGAGTAGGGTAAGATCTGAGGGCTAGAGGAGAACTGCCGGTCCCTGCCGAGTGCAGGTTCTGTGCAGACAACAGAGTTCCTCAGTTTTCGGAGCGGGGTGAAGCCCTAAGGTTAGAGAGAACTCCGGGGTTCGGGTGAAGCGTTTAAGTACTTCTCTGAGGTTAACCAGTTGGTTGATGCCTTGAAGCTAAGCAAGGTTTAGCTGTCCAGTAGCTCCCACTTTCTCCTGGGCCATTTTGCTTTTTTAAATTTAATTTTGCCGTACTGGGATTTGAACTCAGGGCCTTTGCACTGAGCTATATACCCAGCCCTTTTTAATTTTGAGGCAGGGTCTTGCGTAGTTGCCCAGGTTGGTGATCCTCCTGCTTCATTTTCCCAAAGTGCTGGGATTATAGGCATGTGTTGCTGTGCTGCTCGGGCTTTTGCTGTTTTTTTTTTTTTTTTTTTTTTTAAAGCAAAATAACTGCCTTCTAAGCCCACATTTTCTGTATATAATAACGGTACTATTTTAGACAGTGAATTCACAGGAACTGTTTTATGTATTTTTAACTTAATTATTTAGAAAGAAAATGCCAGGAGTGCTGGTACACATCTATAATCCCAGTACTGGGGAGGCCGAGGCAGGGGGATTGCCAAGAATTGCACAGTAGCCGGGGCAACATGGTGAGTTCAAAGCCAGCCTAAACTACATAGCAAGACCCTGTCTCAAAAAGACAGACAGAAAGAAAAAACATACTGGTCACTTTGTGCTAGGTACCATTCTAAGTATTTAACAATTATTAATTCATAATCTTAATAACTGTGAGATAAGTACAGTCATTCCCATTTTACAGATGGAGGAACTGAGGCAGAGAGATTAAGCAGTTTGCCCAAGGGCACACGGCTGGTAAGGTTGCAAAAGCTCCAATTTAGCCCAGTGCCAAAGTCCAAGCTCTTAATGTTTTCACTGTTACTTAACATATGGAGCATCAAAGGTTCAAAGAAGTTAGGTGACCTGGCCAGTATCATAGAGCTCTAAGTGGTCAAGATGGAAGCCTGGAGTATGTTGATGAAAGGACCTCGTAAGCTGTAGTGATAAATACTGCCATCGTTTATGACTTATGTATTGGCTTGAGCACCAGTGTTCTGTTCCTTTTTCGGTGTGCAGCATGGTCTTCAGTGCTCAGGTGTGATAGGATCAGGCACTGTTTGTTTAGGCATTTCCTGTGTGGCAGGAGGGACTTGGTGATTTTCTGTCTGGCTCTGTCAGAAGTTGCTACCTCCTGTTTTCCCAGCATCCATGGCCACCTCGAACTAACATGGCCATCGCTGTCATTTTCTAGCTCTTGGAGGCTGTGTGTAGCCAGCACAGAGGAGCAGAAGGCTGCTCCCTGGGTGTGTCTGTGCACTGAGAGGAACATGAAAGCATTACTTTAGGTTGCTCCAGTTCCTGTTTTACTTGAACGGTTTTTCAGCTCCTGTGACCTTACAGTCTCCCCTCACCCTCTAGCCCTTGGTCCCCTCCCATTTGAGAAAGGTCTATCTCCCTGCTTCCTATTATCTTTTATTTTGCTGGGCTTACAGTCATGTGCCGTCATGCGTAGCTATCAAAGGATATTTTAAGAGTGAAAATGTTTATAATACATCAAGCAACCAGAACAAGATGCAAAATTGCATATATAATTGCAATTTATAGTGGTAGATACAGGATGCACAGTAAGAATAGAAAAAAAGATGGAAAGGACTGTATGAACTGGTTGTGGTAAAGTGCTAGGATTGTATTTTCTTTGAATTCTCTATTTTTTAATTAAAAGTCGCTATATATTGGCCGGGGATTTAGCGCAGTGAATTCACCGCCTGCTGCACAAGCGCAAGGACCCAAGTTCGATCCCTGGTACCAAAAAAAAAAAAAGTTGCTATATAAATTTTACACATCAGTTTTAACAAAGAAGTTATATGCTTAAAGAAATATGAAAAAGAATAATTCTTTATTAAACATGGGTTTGGCCAATCAGAAATACTGTGTCTTATAGCTCAGGGTTAGAGTGCTTGCCTAGCTTGCGCAGGGCCCTGGGTTTAATTTCTGGCAGAAGGAGGGAGTGAGTGAGGGAAGGAAAGAGATACCCTGTGCCTTCATTTTTCAGTTTCTCTTAGATCCTGAGTGACCTGAGGGTGACAGTGTCTCTCCTTCCTCTCCTTGGGGCCTCTTGTCTCATGCAGTGATGATTCTCTGCTTTCTCTGTGCAGAGCCTGCCGCCTACCTTTGGGTTCCTGTTGGACATCGATGGGGTGCTGGTGCGGGGCCACAGAGTCATCCCAGCCGCTCTGGAAGCGTTTCACAGGCTGACGAACGCCCAGGGCCAGTTACGGGTGCCTGTGGTTTTTGTCACAAATGCTGGGAACATCTTACAACACAGAAAAGCCCAGGAGCTGTCAGCCCTGCTGGGGTGCAAGGTAAGGAGACAAAACAGAGGCATGGGAACCCAGCGGTGGTTCCATTCGGAACTTACTTACAGTGTCAGTAAGCCCTCAGTTGTGGCCAGTGGAAATCTTTCAGTCCTGCAGGAAAGACGTGCCATTCAAGCCGAGCTCATCTGTAGGTTCTTTTACACACACAGACACACAGACACACACAGACACACACAGACACACACACACACACACACACACACACACCACCACCAGTTGAGTGAGCACAAAAGTCCTGTTGTTGTATTTGGCACTTTTACTTTGTCATATCCCCTTCTTTTCTTCTGGGCATCAGGGCTATGTCTTTGGGATTGTTGCCCCTTGAGGCTGCACATTTGAGGGGACTGTGCAGTCGCAGCCCCTGCATTGTGTGGATGAGTGGTGGGCATCGGCGTGAGTGCTTTCTGAAAGCGGTCTTGTCAGGCCACATCTCAACACAGATGTGTCCTAGTTTGTTAAGGGTGACTTTAGTTTTTGGGAGAAGTCCTGTGGAACCAAGAGAGCTAATAAGTGGCTGATTATTTGGGTGACTCTGCTTGAGGTTTAGGGCAGAATAAAGAAATAGAACTGGCTCCCTGCTGTGGTTTCCAGGAGCGGGTTTCAGAGCACTCTGAGTAAAGGCTGCATTGTTGGAGTAAGTATAAATGTTAAAGAGCTTTGAGGAAATTTGAAAACAAGCAGCCAAAGTCTGAGGCAGATTTCTATGACTGACAAGGAACATGGCGTGAGAACCAGTGGTTTCCGCAGTGGGGGCTGAGAGATCTAGAGGGGCGTCCGTAAGCCTGACACAGCAGGGCAGGTGAGTGGCCAGACTGTACCTCTCACGACATTTCTGTTCTCTTCTTTTGTGTGGCAAGAACCAAAAGAAGCAGTCTTCTTTCTCCAGTTGAATATTTTTTAGAAGTGTCAGCTACCAGAAATGGCTTTTCCCCCTTCGTTTTCTGAGCAGTTTTTCTTTCTCAGGTAAAAGAGCCCACTGCCTGTCTCTCTCCATCACCTTCTCTTGACTCTGCGTCTCTCTGCTGCCCTCTGTCTTGTGGTTGTCCCTGCAGGTGGAGCCAGACCAGGTCATTCTCTCTCACAGCCCCATGAAGCTCTTTTCACAGTACCATGACAAGCGGATGCTGGTATCTGGGCAGGGACCTGTTGTGGAGAATGCCCGAGCGTATCCTTTTGGTCCTCTTGCCTTGGCTGGAGAGGACAGGGCAGGAGTGGGCAGGAGTGGGCGGGCCCTCCCTGCTTGGCTAATGGGGATCGTGGTGGAGGAGGCTCCCCCTGAGGGCAGCCCTCGTGTCTGGTGGTTCTGGAAAGCCAGTCCTCACCAAGTCTTCTGCGGAGCTTTAAGTGCAGTCTTGCGCCTTACCCCTGGCTGGAGAATCTCGATTCACTAGGGCTAGGGTGGGTGTCAAGAAACTGTGAGTTGTGGGGAGGGAACCCAGGGCCTTGGGCATTCTAGTACTCTACTCCAAGCCCAGGAATCTGCATTTTAAAAAATAGACAACTCTCTAGGCGATTCTGTAATTACCTTTGGGGAGCAACATTCTAGCCCTCTTCTTCGGGGGCGTTCAGTCACCTTGTCAGCTCCGGAAGTGAGCAGGGAGCTCCTGTTGGATGAGTCTGCAGTCCGGAAGCAGAGGGTGTGGTCCCTGTTCTCAGCAGCCTGTTCATTTGTGCAGGGTGCCTCCTTGCCATCATGCTGTGCTGCATGGCTAAAGGGGACAGGAGACCAAGGAAAGGACATTAGGATTGTGACTTCATCGAGGCCCGTACTTGAGCAGGAAGAGTCACATACCTGTGGACAGTAAAAGGATATTTATGATGGCATGGGGTGGGCTGGGGCTGCAGCTCCGGGGTAGAGCGTATGCCTAGCATTTGGGAGTTCCATCCGTAGCACCACAAGGGAAAAAGAAAAAGATGGCACATGACTGCAGGCTGCGGACGTGGGCTAGGTTCTCCAGGGAGTGACTGTCCCTGGCAGGCGTGGCCTGTGGCCTCATGGAGGGTTATGGCTGTGCCCCAGAAGGTGGCCTAGGTTTCCGGTCAGGAAAGGTGGGAGGTTGGAACGGGTCAGGTGGGAGTTAGAGGACAGAGGAGCAGGCAGGCCAGGAAACCCTGGAGCATACTTGGTGTGGTATCGAGGCCACTTCACCATCAGGGTGTGATCTGGCGCCCTCATTTGGGGAAATACGTTTGGAGAGTCTTTGCAAACCGGGTCCAAGTAGGACTGCAGGTTGGAACTGGGGACTGGACGATGGAGGCCATCTCCATCTTAGAAGAGAAAGGCTGCACTGGCTTGGCCATCTACTGGCCTCTGGTGTTGAGCTGTCCTGCAGATTGTAGCTGCTGTCTGACTCCCAGCCACGGAGGTGCCCTCTGAGCAGCACTCAGTGCCAGCGCTGTTTATGGAGTGCAGGTCCGGATGGGCTCTGGATGTGTTGTCTGCCGTGTGAGCACGGATCTCTGCGCCTTTGCGCCCTGCTCTGCCTCTCATGGGCCCTGGCACCTGCGAGGTGCCAGGGGCTGCCGAGGGTTGCCTGGAATTGCCTGACCACACGGCCCATGCTGTTGTGGCCTGCCTCTCCGCACCCGTCCTGCCGGATGTCTGGCATCCCACCTGCCTCGTGTGACCAGGACTGCGTCCCCTTGCTTGTGCTCTGGTGTGTTGAGAAAGGCGTCTTCCTCAGAACTGTCCAGCTTTGCTTCCTGATCTTGCTTCAGCCTGGGCTTCCGGAACGTGGTTACCATGGAGGAGGTGCGGACAGCCTTCCCTGTGCTGGACATGGTGGACCTCGAGCGGCGGCCGACGGCCACGGTAACAAGGAGTGCAGGTTGGGTCATGTCACCCTCCACGTCTCTCTGGGGTCTCTGTGTTCACTTCTGTCCTGTCCCCTCTGTCGGCTTCCCTTGCTGACTTCACCACCCTCCTGCTGAGAGCTGTGCTTCCTCTGTGTTTCCTCTGGAGTGTGGCCTCCGTGAAGAGCTGTACTGGCCAGGGATTGTTCTCCAGATGGGAAAGAGTGGCAGGCTCCAAGCCCATCCTTTCTGGGTTGTTTGTAATGAGCTGGGAACCTCTTTCGGGTCTCCAGCATGTCCTCCAACTAAGTTTTGTATTTACCCGACCATTTTCCTGGGGTAGCTCGGGAAAATTGTTAACCTTTGCTAAACGACTCGCTGCTCCAGAGCTATCTACTGAAGCACAGTCCAAGGAGCTGCCCTTGGGAGAGGTGGCTTGCTGGTCGGAGCACTGGTGATTCTGCCTGTCTGCCCATGTGTTTTTTGGCTCAGCTCTCATCAAAACATTGGCTTGATTTCTTGCTGTATTGCTGTGGCTAGAACCAGGGCGTTGTATCTGCTAGGCAGGCACAGTAACCTGAGCTACACCCCCAGCCCATGATTTCTTGTCTCCTGAGGGGTCCTTGGCCCACATCCTCAGGTGGGCTTTGGAACTTGGAACACCATGGAACTTATGTTTTAAGTTGCATAATGAAATGCAGCTATAAAGAGGCACACTTTCATTTATTTATAAGCCATTACCTTCTCCAGAGTTTCCCAGCTGTAGAGTGCGTCCCCTTCTCTGAGACCTTTCTGTCTGTGGAGAACCAGGATGTAGAGTAGGAAGAGACTCAGAACCACTCAGGCCTGAGGCCCACACAGGGAAATGACGTAGCCCAGGTCACAGGACTGTGTGGAGGAAGAGCCACGGCTGCAGTGGCCTGGGGTAGGATGCACCCCAAGAGGCCAATAAAGTGAAGGCTCTGCCTGCTGACTGTTGTCAGGTGGACAGTCCACCAGGTCCTGATGGAGTATTCTTGTTGGGGCTACCTTTGTCTTTAGCTCACTGGCTGCATAGTCTGGAGACCGTGTAGCCCAGGCTGGCCTCAAACTCAGAGTGATCCTCCTGCCTCAGCCTCCCAAGTTTTAGGACTCCAGGCATGCGCCACCATGTTCAGCTGGCTCTAGAGAGTCTTGCTGGCTCATGTCTTGCTTCCTCTGCCTTCAGTGTGCTTGTCCCTCAGCTCATTCTGGAACCACTTGGTGGTTGTTTGTGAATCTTCTTCCTTGGTCCTGTGCAGCTTTTCCTTGCCTGGGGCTGGATGGGGTTGGTCTATGTGGAAGGTCCTTCCCTCCTCGCTCTGGAGATGGGCTTTTCTGGGCTTTTCCAGAGTGGATGGTGACTATTGGTTGACAGCCTCTTTGTCTCTTGACAGCCCCTTCTGAGGAGCGACTTCCCGGCCATTGAAGGTAAAAAGACCTTCTTCCCGTGTGAGTGGAGGGTCTTTTTCTTCCTCCTTTCAGGCCCTCAGGCTGGCATAGTGTGACTGCTTGCCCCTGGCCTGGTAGAGAGGCAAGGGTCTCTGGTCCTGGATCTGTCACTCGCCACCTGGGGGATGTTTGCTGCTTCTTGCCTTCCCCATGTCGCTTACCTTGTAGGTGGAAAAATCGTAAGCTTTGAGGCTCTCAGATTGAAAAGTACCAAGACACAATCTATTCCAGTGTTTCTCAACTTTATTCAATCCAGTTCTTCTTTGTACAACAAAAACATAATTTCGTCTTTACTAAGTAGTCCTGAAATGAAATTCATGGGTGATGTAACTTTTCCATGAATGTATGTAGATCAAGTAGTTAGCTATGAAACCTTAACTGCAATAAGGTAAAATAAAAGGGAAAACTTTAGTAAGTTAATGTTTTGCCGGCCGTGGTGGTACAAAGCTGTAATCCCAGCACTTGGGAGGCAGGAGGATCATTGCAAGTTCAAGGCCAGCCTGGGCTATATTAGTGAGTTCAAAGCCAGCCTGGGCTATATAGCGAGATCTTGTCTCATAAACAAAACAAAACAAGAACAACAACAACAAATGTTTTGATATTTAATAATTATCCAAGAAGTGAATGACTGAACTAAACACAGACTCACTGTGAATGTTCCAGCTGCATGTGCCGCCTGAGTATGTTTATACCGGTGCTACAGTGTGTTGCCAGGGCAGAATTGCCATTGGTGAAGGGATTGTCCACGCTAGAAAACAACTCTTAGTAAAGTTTTAAGAAGAACGAGTCTTCTCCTGATGATCCTGCAAATGATCCTTGCATTTTAGGAAAAATTAGTGTTTATTAAAACTGTACAAAAGTATTTTGTGAAAATAGAAAAACCCTTTGTGATTCTATGTGAAATGGAATTAGCTCAAGTAGATATGACCAGTTTGTCCAGCTACATGAATACCAGGTGAGACATTCAGGTATTCTTAGGGTGTAGGACAGGTTTGATTGTACAGGACTGTCCTCAGCTACTAAGTGTGTCATTGTTAGAACCAAGATATACAGCCTCTTCTCTTTTTTTGGTGGTGGTGGGGATGGAACCCAGGCCTCGTGAGTGCCAGGCAAGTGCTCTACCATTGGATTATGTTCCCAGTGCCCACATCCTCCCTTTCAAATACACCTCCCCAGGTCAGCACTGCATCATTGAGAGTCACTGATGAGCTTCAGTTCCCTGGTCTTGTAGCTGACACTGCATCTGCTGCTTGCCGCCTGCCAGCTGTGTGTGTCTGGCACTGGGGGTAATGTTTACTAGATCTCACTTTTACCCTTGCAGCACCATAAGTAGGTGTTGCTGTTATGTAGTTGAGAGTGAGGTTTGGAGAAGGGAAGTCACTGCCACTGTCCTGCAGGAGCATTGTCAGGGTCAGAGTTGGAATTCAGGGCTGTCAGTCCACACCCCTGCTCTTGGCCTTTGGGTGTACTGGTCCCTGGGGCCCTGAGAGCAGTGGCTGGTGGAGAAGAGAGAGCCCCTTGCGGAGAGCTCCTGGGGTGAGGAGCATGGTGGGTAGAGCCCCAGTCAACAGGAGGAAGCAGTGGGCGACTTGCTGCGTTTCCTGGTTCAGCTTCTTGAATGCCAGTGGACCGAGCTGTTGGGACCCTCTTGCTGTGCCCAGCACTTTGGTAAGGCAGCCTTGCCTGGGTGCAAGCAGCACAGTGAGGAGCTCCAGATGGGTGCACCAGCCTGTCTCCACAGCCTGAGGCTGCCACAAGGGGCAGGCGAGTGCCCTGTGCCCCCCACCCCCTGCCTTTGCTCTTCCAGGCGTGCTCCTCCTTGGGGAGCCAGTCCGCTGGGAGACCAGCCTGCAGCTGATTGTGGACGTGCTCCTCAGCAATGGGAACCCTGGCACTGGCCTGGCAACGGCGCCCTATCCACATCTCCCTGTCCTGGCCAGCAACATGGATCTTCTCTGGATGGCTGAGGCCAAGATGCCCAGGTGAGGACACAGGGTCCCCAGCCCCAGCCCTGGTGGCCTTCTTCGAGCTGCTGCATGACCAGTCCTGTGGGCAGTTGGTCACTGTCATTCAGACGCTCGGGGGCTGGCGCCCACCTAGCTGGGCCCTGTAGTTGTCACAGTGACTGGGTCTCTGGGAAGGCTCTCAACTATCACTTCACCCATTCACTACTAACCTGAAACGACACTGCTGAGCACGAAGATGTGTGGCCATGATTTTTTTTTTTTCGAGACGGGGTCTCACTGTAGTTCAGGCTGGCCTTGCACTCACTATGTAGCCCAGGCTGGCGTTGCACTCATGGCAATCCTCCTGCCTCAGCCTCCCGAGTGCTGGGATCACAGGCATGCGTCACCACATCGGGGTGTGGAGATTTTTCACACTGTGCTCCATAATCTTAGGAACAAGTTTCTAAGGACAGTTGGTGAGGTGTGGCAGTGCCCGTTACTCACTCTCCTTCCTTACTCCCTGTAGCGTTGCTTTTCTTGCTTCTTTCTTTGCATTTACCTGTGAGATGTAGGGGCCGGGCACCCAGGAGTGTTCTGGTGGTGGGATAGAGCCATGGACCAAGGCCCCAGCCAGGGAAGGCACATGGGTATTGAGAAGAAGCCCACGCGCCCTGCTCACCCTAAAGATGTCATTCTTCTGTCCCTCTCTGGGCTGGTAGGTAGCCCTTTTACTGGTGCTCAGGATGCCTTACTGTGAGGCCAGCGATGGCCTCTCTGTCCTGTTAGCTGTTCTGAGCAGCAGGGCCAGAGTCCTGCTCTTCTCACCTGCCACTGGGCTGTGTGAGTGGTCGGTCAACAGCGGGTGTCGGGGCCAGGACTGCTGCAAGTCCTGGGACTGAGGAGCTCCACAGAGAGCAGCATATGGTGTTTCCCTTGTCACTTTTTTTTTTGGTACCGGGGATTGAACTCGGGACCAGGCTGAACCACAGAGCTAAATCCCCAGCCCAATTCCCTTGTCACTTTTAAAGTGTATTTCTAGGGCTTGGTTTTGGTGTTTTCTCTAAAGTTCTATTTCTAGATGGCACTAGATGGAGAGCTGGTGACAGAACTGTGAACTAAAAAGCAGGGGGCAAATTTCACTTTATAAACCAGACAAGACTAATTTTTATTCAATGATTGAAAGGAAGGTGTGGTGGTGCACGCCTGTGATCTCAGCCCTTCAGGGAGGCCAAAGCAGGAGGATCAGAAGTTCAAGCCCAGCGTGGGCAACTTGGTGAGATGCTCTCTCAAAAGCTAAACAAAACAAAAAAGGCAGGGGTTGTAGTTCAGTGCAAAGGCTCAGGATTCAGTCCCCAGTACTGAAAAAAAGAAAAGAAAGCAAGCAGGCTCTTGCTGTGTAGTTCAGGCTGCCCTTGAACTCACTGTGTAGCCCAGGCTGGCCTCGAACTTGCAGCGATCTTCCTGCCTCAGCCTCCTGAGTGCTGGGATTACAGGCATGCAGCTTTTTTTTTCCTTCAAAATTCTTCATATAAATGAGATTGAATTTTAACTAATATATAGCATGGGATCTATTAGAATTTGGTTTAGCAACCAGGGATGAAAGCCCAAAACAAAAAAGTTTTGGACAAGGTAGAACTTTTTTATCATGTGAAGTCTAGAATAGGCAGTACTGGGACAAAGGCTTTTCTGTCTTCCCTTGGTGCAGTCTGTAGTCCTTCCCTACATAATCCAAAGTGGCTACCTAGATGCCAGCCATCATATTAGCATTCCAGATGGCAGGAAAGAGTAGAGGAGGACAGAGAAGAGCATCCCCCCCAATTTTAAAGCTATTTAGTAAGAGTTTATCCCAGCCTTTTGCTTTCATTGACTGTTTAATGCTAGTTTGGTTACATGGCCATACCTAGATTCAGGGAAGGTGGGGAATGTACTTTTTACAATGTGCTCAGCTGAAAATTGGCAGTAACAGAGAAAGGGAACATGGCAACCAGTAGCCTGCCACAAATCTAAATAAAATTTAAGCTGCCTGGATTACAGTCCTAGCTCTACCATTGTGGGCAAGTTGCCGAATCTTGCTGTCCTCAGTTTCTGGATGTGTTAGTGTCTGTCCGACAGGATTTTTCGGAATTGTAAGTGCAATGCGCCATCTCCTGTGTTAGAGCAAGGCTTGGTCCTGTCGGGCCTCCCCAGCAGGGGTCTCACTCTTCCCTTAGCCCCAAGCCCTGCAGTTGCTGTGCCTGGCTGGGGCCTAGAGGCTGAGCTGCCGGGCTCTCCCCTTGGGCAGGTTTGGCCACGGCACCTTCCTGCTTTGCCTGGAAGCCATCTATCGGAAAATGACGGGAAAGGAACTGCGATATGAGGGCCTGATGGGCAAACCCAGCCTGCTCACCTACCAGTACGCAGAGGAGCTGATCAGGCAACAGGCAGAGAGGCGGGGCTGGACCGCCCCCATCCGGAAGCTGTACGCCGTGGGGTACGTGCCCATCTCCCCACCCTGTCCACCCTCCCACCTTTCTCTGCTCTCACTCTCCATTCCCTGTGTCTGAACCACACTTCTACCCCTAACGTTATTCTCCTCTGCCTTGTGACACTGCATTTGGGTTTCTCTTTCCATTTCCCTTGCCAGTGATAATCCTATGTCCGATGTCTACGGAGCCAACTTGTTCCACCAGTACCTGCAGATGGCAGAGCGCAGCGTGCGGGCAGAGCAGCAAGGGGCTGGCGGCCTTCAGAAGCAGCCGCCCTCTGCCACCCAGAGCTGTACCTCCATCCTGGTGTGCACTGGCGTGTACCGTCCCGGGGAGCCTGGGTCTGGGGAGGCACCATTCCACGGGCACCGGGATTTCGGCTGCAGTCCGGGGCTCCTGCAGGCGGCCCATGTGGTGAATGACGTGCACGAGGCTATGCGCCTGGCTTTCCATGAGGAGGGCTGGGGGTGGTAGTGGGGTGCGCTGGATCCTGCGCACTGCCTTCTGGCCACAGAAATGTTCCCTGGGGCCACATTTCCTGTGGAACTTGAGATTTCCAGCCTGATTCCTGTGTGCATCTCCTGGCAGTCTAACCTCAGGCTGGCCCCTTTACCTCTGTGCCTCAGTTTCCTCCTCCCTTCAGCAGGGACTCCTGCAGAAAGGGAGGCAGTGTGGGGTAGTGTGCAAGTCCCACAGAGCTTTTGCTCTCAGGGAGCCACTTCATGGCAGCAGGTGTGTAACCAAGTCTCACATGCTAGTTTTCACTGTATTTTAGGTTATTGCCCAGAAATTTTGGGCTTATTTTTTTAAATTAAAGTTACCCTAATAAATACTCATTACGCTGTCTCTTGTGAAGCTCTGTCCATCTGGAATGTACTGAAAATCCTGGGAGGAGCAGCTAGTGGGTGATGGCACGCATGGGAAGGCTCTGGAGGCAGGGAGAGGTAGCATTTCAGCCCATAAGGTGTGGCATCTCCCTTCCTGCCACCCTTCCTCCTTCCACCCCTAAACCCACAGCGAGCCTGGGCTGTGAAGCCAGGGCCTGTCTAGGAATGAGTTACGCATGGCTTTGGCATATGCTTAGCAACCTCCCTGGTGTAGAAAAGGAAAAGGATCTTGTTTGTGGTCTGTTTTAGAGAAGGGAGTTCTCCATCTGGGTGTAATGACGCATGCCTGTGATCCCAGCACATGGGAGGCTGAGGCAGGAGGATCTTGAGTTCAAGGTCAGCCTGGGCTCCATACTGAGACCTTGTCTCAGAAAAACAAAAAAGAGAATTTTCCTTTAGTGATTCTAGAAGTATGTGTTTCTTACAGTTATTCCTTGTGTGTGTGTGTGTAGCAGGGTCTGGTTAAGTTGCCCAGGCTAGTTTCAAATCTCAAATTCATGATGCTCCTGTCACAGCGTGCTATGCCACCACTCCTGTCTTCCTCTGGGAGCTATTCACTTTCACTTTTCATCTGTCTGTCTTCCATGACTGTGGCACTGTCAGATTCTCTGGCGTTATAGTTTAGATCTTTTTTTTTCATTTTCTGTTTTTTCCCCCTCTGAGGATTAAACTGACCCTATCCCCAATGTTTTACTTTCTTCGTCAGATTGATTCCTAGGTATTTCATTGTTTTGGGATGCTATTGTGAAAGGGGTTGTTACTCTCATTTCTCTCTCAGTGAATTTGTTTTTGGTATACAGGAAGGCTATTGATTTTTGAGTGTTGACTTTCTATCCAGCTATGCCATCAAATTTGGTTATCAAATCTAGAAGTCTTTTGGTGGAGTTCTTGGGGTCTTCTATGTAGAGTATCATGTCATCTACAAATAATGATAATTTAACTTCTTCCTTTCCTATCTTTATTCCTTTTATTTTTTTCTCTTATCTAATTGCTCTGGCTAATGTTTCCAGAGCTATATTGAACAAGAGTGGTGACAATGGACATCATTGTCTTGTTCCTAATTTTAGAGTGAAAGCTTTCAGTTTTTGTCCATTTAGTATGATGTTGGCTGTTGCTTTGACATAGATGGCTTGTATCAGATTGAGGTAAAGATTATACCAATTTTCTGTAGGGCTGTTAATTATGAATGGGTATTGGACCTTGTCACATGCTTTTTTTGCATCTGTTGAGAGGATCATATGGTTTTTGTCCTTGGCTCAGTTAATATAGTGTATTATATTTATTGATTTGTGTATGTTGGACATCCCTGCTCCTGGGATGAATCCAACTTGGTTATGGTGTATAAGCTTCTTGATGATTTACTACATTCTGTGTTCATTAGGGAGATTGGCCTGTAATTCTCCTTTTTGGTTGGATCCTTCTCTGGTTTTGGAATCAGGGTAATACTTGCTTCCAGGCATGAATTTGGGAGTATTGCTTCCCTTTCAATTTCCTTAAAGAGTTAGAGAGTAATGGCATTAGGTCTTCTCTAAATTTCTTGTAGAATTCAGCAGTGAATCCATCAGGGCCTGGGATTTTCTTGCTTTTTTTTTTTTTGGTACCAGGGATCGAACTCGGGTCCTTGCGCTTGTGCAGCAGTTGGCAAAACCACTGAGCTAAATCCCTGGCCCCAGGGCCTGTGATTTTCTTTGTTGGTAAGTTTTTAATTACATCTTCAGTTTCATTGGCTGATACTGGCTTATTTAGAATTTCTATATCTTCTTGTTTCAGTTTTTGTAATTCATATGTATCTAGGAATCTCCATTTCTTCTGTATTTTCCATGTTAATAGAATAATGAAATCTAGAATGAACCTGAAAATTGTATGCAATAAAGAAGCCCTTAATATGGCGATTTTCCCCTGAGGGGAAGAAGATTTAAAAGAGGTTAGGGGGGAAAGAACAGAAATGGAAGAAGAGGAAGACCTCAGAAACTGGAGGACAGACTTTACAAAACTGATGAAGAAGACAGGTGGGAAAGAGAATAGGAAAAAATAAAAACGAACAGAACAACAACAAAAAACTAGAAACCATGTTCAAAACATCAAGAAAAAACAAAACAAAATAACCAGAAAGGAGGAAAAAAAATAAGGAAAAAGAAAAGAAGAAAACCCCCCAAAATGTCCAATTCAAGGTGTGTCTCTGCTGTCACTGGTAGGCAACGAGGGCAAACAGACTCCAGAGGTGAATTGATAAATCCCAGCAAGCCAGCCACAGCTTCACAGTGGGGTAGTGGACAATCCTAGCCAGCCTGCTCCTTAGTTCCTCTGGAGCTCAGGGTGGTTTCTGGCTGGGAGGCTGGAACCGGATTCCTTGAGCCTACAGTGGTGTATGTGCTTCTTGCTGCCTTGATCTCTGGTCCCTGACCTCCTGCTGACTTGAACTTGTCACTCAAAGCGAGGCACTGGGAGCCACTAGATGGAGTCAGTCCATAGCTGTTCTGAGTTCCAAGCTCAGTTGGCCCCTCTCCAAGATGGCTACCAGCCATTCACCTTCTGAGTGACATATGGACTCCTTAACTGCTCCTCAGCTGCTGTAGTCTGGTGTGTCCCCTGCTTCGTTCCACTGTTGTGTTTCTCTGTGGAGGCCTCTGGGGTCACCAGTAGTCACCATGCGTCTGCAGGTTCAGCCCGACATTCCCTCACTGAGAGTCCAGGGTCTGGGAGAGAGCGCTGCTTGCTACCTCCCTCCTCTTTGTTACAGTCTCTTCACTCTCCCTGTAGACATCAATTCTCATCTCAGATCCTTCCTGGATCCCACAGACCTAGTTTCCTCCTTCTCCTCCTTGCACTGCTCTGTTCCAGTGTCAGGACACCAAATCTCGGAGAGGCTCTTTCTCTAATGCTCTCCACTCTGGCATCCTCCCAGAAGTCACTTCCCAATGTGTTTTCTTTTGTTTTGTGTGTGTGTGTGTGTGTGTGTGTGTGTGTGTGTGTGTGTGTGCTGGGGATTGAACTCAGGACCTTGTGGTTTCGAGGCAGGCACGGTGCCACTGAGCTAAGTCCCCAGCCCCTGGTTTTGGTTGTAGAGTCTCTGTGTAGTTCAGGCAGACCTTGAACTCACTATGTAGCCCAAGCTGGCATTGAACTCATGGTGATCCTCCTGCCTCAGCCTCCTGAGTGCTGGGATTACGGATGTGCACTGCCACACCTGGCTTTCGTTTTGAGGGATGAATGTCCCCCAAAGGCCTGTGTGTGAAAGACTGAGTCCTCAGCATGGTGCTACCGTGGGATGGTGGCACCGTAGGAGCTGAGGCCGGGGACATGCCCTTGATGGAGGAGGTCGGCCAGCCCCTTCTTCTTTTCCTTTGCTTCCCAGTCCTGAGTGAATTCTTGGTCTTGCCATGTGTTGCACCGTGATGCGCTGCCTCAGCACAGGCCCAAAGCAATGGGGCCAACTAACCATGGATCCAGACCTCCCAAAGTGTGACCCAAATGAACCTTTTCTCTTTGTAAGTTGACTTATCTCATGTATTTGTTATAGTGATAGAAGGCTAACCCGGCCAGTTCTTGTCCTTATCTTACTTCATGTGTCATTTGCTTGTGACACAAGTGATTTTTCCTTCCCCTCTTTCTTAAAACATTCTTGGGCCAGATGTGGTGGTGCACTGTGATCCCAACACTCAGGAGTCTGAGGCAGGAGGGGTGAGGGTAAGGCCAGTGTGAGTGGCATAGTGAGGCCCTCTCTGAACAACCCCTCCCCCTGAAACAATCACACCTGGCTAGCCAGGCATGGTGCTGCACACCTACAATCCCAGCACTCTGGGAGGCTGAGGCAGGGGAATTGCAAGGTCCAGCAAAGCCTGGGCAACTCAGTGAATTGGGACGCTGTCACTGTCCAGGCCTGAGGCTTGGAGCCATGCTTCTCTGCCATCCGAGCATCAGCTCTCCCTTCACGCACGGTGCATCTGACAGCGAGCATTTTGTACCCCAGCACCACCCCCCGGTCTAGGCCTCCCTTGTCACACCTTCCTCTTGTCCTGCTTTGTCTCATCTTTCTCCTCCCTCCGCACTTTTCTCCACTTTTTGGCCTATAATCGGTCAGACTATATTTTTATTATTTAATATTTATTTATTTATTTATTTATTGGTTTTTTGAGACAGGTCTCGCTCTGTAGCCCAGGTTGGCCTTGAACTCACGGTGATCCTCCTGCCTCACTCTCCCGAGTGCCAGGATTATAGGCGTGCACTGCCATGGCTGCCTAGTGAGACTAATTTGGATCTGTTCTCTGGTCAGCCTCTCCTGTGACTTTCTGTCTCATGGAGTAAACCTGCAGTTCCTTACACAGCACAAACACCTCCATCCTCAACCCTTGCGTCACTGCTGTCTCCCCATCCCTTCAAGCTGTCCACCACCCCCTGCTGCCCTTTGCAGCCTCCTGCCCCCAGGCCTCTGTACCTACAGTTGCGTCTGCACTGGCTATGTGTCCTCTCTCCCCCTTGTCCATCATTTCTTGAAGATCTGGTGTGAGGTCACCACACAGACGTTGTGGTTTCCTCTAGAGAACAGCACCCTCTCCCCTTTGCCCTGTTTGTTTGTCAGAGCACTTGCCACTGCACAGCCTTTGTGTCCTTGCTTGTCCTATGTCTTCTGACGCAGACTGCGTGCCCTGGCCATGCTGGTTTAGTCCCCGCACCCATGTGTCTGTACCTTCAGGCTGCAGTGGATGTCTGTTCCATCGATGGTCCCTGCAGGCCCATGAATCCTATAGAGGTCTTTTTTTTTTTTTTTTTGGTACCGGGGATCAAACTCCAGACCTTGCCCTATAGAGGTCTTAAGGACACACCTGCCTTCCTTTTCTTTTCCCTTGGAGACTTTAGGAAAAACGAAAAGATCAATGGCCTGGAGTAGAATCCCATCCCTGCCACTCACCAGCCGTGTGCCTGGGCACAATTTCTTTCTCTTCTCCAAG